AAAGAGGTCTTGTGCAGCAGATTTACCGAATGCAATACATAGTTTAATTTCCTGACTGCTCCGTCCATGAATATATTGATTGTGGATCCAAGCAAAACAAAGTCTGTGGCAACTTCAATTTTTGGTATACTTGTGAGGATTTCTGGGTCCTTTACATTGAGGTGCCGCACAGGCTGATGGCTGTAATATTTGATCTTCATCAATCAGTAAGTGTTTTAAGTCCTCTTCACTTTCAGCATATCGCAGGTTGTTCATGAGTCTTCCTCCAATCCTGATGCCACGTTTTTCTTCATTTAATCCAGGTTTTCAGACTATTTGCCCAGCATGTAGACTGAATAAGCATGGTGAATGGAGACAACTCTGAGACACACCTTTCCTGATTTTAAACCATACATCACCTTGTGCTGGCACGTCTACCTCTTGGTCTGTGTACAAGCTCCTCATGAGCACAATTAAGTGTTCTGGAATACCCATTTTTCACAACTGATATCCATAGCTTGTCAACATCCACACAGTTGAAAGTCTTTGTGTAGTCAACAAGGCACAGGTAAATATATTTCTGAAATTCTTTGTATTTGGCCAAGGTCCATCTTACATCAACTATGATATCCCTCATTCCAAGTCCTCTTCGGAATCCAGCTTGGATTTCTGGCAGTTCCTGATTGATGTACTGTTATAGCTGCTTTGTAACAATCTTCAGAAAAATTTTACTCGCATGTGAAACTGATGATACTGTTCAGTCCTGTCCGCATTCCAGTAGGTCGCCTCTCTTTGGAATGAATTATGAATCTGTTCCAATCAGTTAACCAGGTAGCCATCTTTCAAATTTCTTGGCATAGACGAGTGACCACATCCAGGGCAGTACCTGTTTTCTGAATCACTTCCATTTGTATTCTATCAATTCATGAAACCTTGTTTTTCAACAATACCTTCCATGCAGCTTGGCTCTTCTTTCAATACCATGAGCTCTTGATCAGATGCTACTGCTACAATTGGTTGCAGAGTAACCATTTCTTTTGGTTACAGTGACTCTATGTATCCCTTTCATTTTCTTTTGGTGCTCTCTTGCATCATTCAGTATTTTTTGTCCACAAAATCCTTCAATATTGCAAGTGAAGGCTTGAATTTTTTCTTCAGTTCCTTGAGCTCGAGAAATGCTGAACGTGTTCTTCCTGTTTGGTTTTCTACTCCAGTGTCTGTGCACATTTGCAATACTTGACTTTGTTTTCTTGAGCCACCCTTTGAAATTTTCTGTTCAGCTACTTTACTTCCTCAGCTCCTCCATTTGCTTTAGCATCTTACGCTGAAGAGCAAGGTTGTCTTTTCTGATATCCGTTATGTTCTTTTCCTGTCTTCTTCATGACCATTTCTTTCTTCCTGTATGATGTTCTTGATGTCATCCCACAACTCATCTGGTCTTTGAGCATCAGTGTCTGATACATCACATCTGTTCTTGAGATGGTCTCTAAATTCAGGTGGCATATGTCCAAATCATGTTTTGGCTCTCATAAACTTGTTACAATTTTCTTCACCTTCAGTCTGAACTTGCATATGAGCCATTGATGGTCTGTTCTACAGTTGGCTTCTGGCCTTCGTTTGCATGATGTGACTGATGCATTTGAGTTCCAGTTGGAGAAAAATAGTCAAAGTACCATGGACTGCTAGGAGAACGAACAAATCTGTGTTGGAAGAAATACAGCCAGAGTGCTCCTTAGAAGCCAGGATGGCCAGACTCCACCTCTCATACTTCAGACAGGTTGTCAGGAGCAGTCCCTGGAGAAGGACAGCATGCTTGGTAATAAGAAGGGTCAGCAAAAAAGAGAAGGATCCCTAAGGAGCTAGAGTGGCACAGTGGCAGTAGCAATGGGCTCAAGTATAACACTGACTGAGACACTGGTACAGGAGTAGGCAGTATTTCGTTCTGCTGTGCACACAGGGTTGCTATGATTTGGAACTGACTCGACGACACCTGAAAACAACAAATCACCGATTAAGGTTTTCCGTTATCTCTTTGCACAGAGGTCATCAATTTGATTCCATCTGGTGAGGTCCATGTGTAGAAACAGGAAGCGCAAAGCGGGGTTTCCTCTCACTTCTCCCCAGGTACAGCTCGTGGGCTTTTTCTTTACTCAGACATTGGCCTTTCTTCTTCTGTTTGGTGAGTCACTGTCTGTCTGCAGTGTGTGTCTTGGGTGATGCGGGTCATCGTGTGTGTACACTCTGCCCAATCGGAGAGCCCCCCGAGGAGGAACAACTGCCCTCACTGTCTTTGTGTTGGTTCTGGGGTAGGTACTTGTCTTCTTTCAGTATAAAAAGTGGAGTCCTGGTGACTAGTGGGTTATTCATTGGGCTGTTCAAAGCAGTGTTGCTGGTTTAAATCCACCAGCTGCTCTGCGGGAGAATGATGTGGCTTTCTGCTCCTGGAGCTCTGGTAGCGTAGTGGTTACAAATCAGGCTGCGAACCTCAAGGTCAGCAGTTCGAAACTACCAGCTGTTCCATGGGAGAAAGATGACGCTTTCTGCTCCCGTAAAGATTTACAGCCTCGGAAACCCTGTACAAGGTCGCTATGAGTTGGAACCGACTCCACAGCATATAACAACAACAAAACATACATTGCCTCAGAAACCCTACACTGGGTTGGTGTGAGTCGAAACTGACTTGATGGCACACAACAGAAGCAACAGCATACAAAGTAGGGAGAAATTAGGGAGAATTATGAAATTAAATGTCTAAGTTATCAGCTATCTCCCTCTAAAAATAAGAGCATTGCATTACAAGGCATAAAAAAATAAAATAAAATAAATAAAACACAAACCCAGTGCCATCAAGTTATTGCTGACTTGTGGTGAGTCTATAGGACAGAGAGGAGTCGCGTCATATGGTCTTTATCTTTATGGGATCAGATTGTCTCATCTTTCTCCTGCAGAGGGGTTGGTGGCTTCAACCGCTGAACATTGGTTAGCAGCCCAATGTTGAACCCACTGTGCCACCAGGGCACCTTTGTTGTTGTTGTTAAGTGCCATTGAGTTGGTTCTGATAATAGCAACACTGTAAAGGGTTTCCAAAGAGCAGCTGGTGCATTTGAACACCGACCTTGCAGTCCACTGCATTATTCTGCAGTGCCACACCAGGACCCTGGACAGCTCTAAGCCACTGAAATTAAAAGCACTATACCTCAGGGGTCGCCATGGTCAATTGGCATAACATAGATCACAAAGGCAATGATGTATATATCCTGCTTTGGTGAGTGACGGGTATCTTAAAGCTTCCGGGTGACCGTGGAAAGTGCAACTAAAAATGAAGAGTGATGAAAAGGAAAGACGCTTGGAACCAGTTAGTCCAGGGGACCAATGGAACACGTGAACATTAGTGTCCAGGACTTGGGGACCAGAAAACTAGACAGTACCCAGCCACTCTGCGAGGTCACATCAGAAGGTCTCAGATAGAGTGGGAAAAAATGTGAAACAAAACTTAACATTACAAAATCAATCAGACTCGCTAGTCAGAAAGAGACAAGGAATCCGAGACTCCGGCCCTCAACCACCCTTCAGGCCTGGGACAGAACTCACTCTCAGAACCCAGTTTTTAGCCGAAGAGTAGGTAGGAAAAATAGGGGGATCAATAACACGAGGGCAACATGGGCCTAAGGACAAAATGAAGAAGGGATGGGAAGGAGGGTGGAGCAGAAACATGAGCCACAGGGAGAAAGTGGTATAACTGTTGTTCCATCGAGGGGATTACAATCATTAAGATGAAACGAAGAGTATGATTTGTTGAATGCAAAACTGATGATCTGCTCTATAAACTTTCACCCATTTCACAGCAAAAAGTTTCAAAAGGAAAATTAACATGATATGCAGCAATCAGCCCAACGGAGCTGTCATATCCCATGCACCTATTGGCGCTGGTTTCATGGAGTACAAAGCCATTGTTAATTCTCGAGGGGAGGTGGCTGGGTGGCTACCCTGACCTGCACTCAGGGAGCAGCTTGCAGGTATCACAAACACAGCCACAGCCTGACCAGATGAGTGGCCCCACACCACCCCCTTTGCCCCCACAGGAAGCCCAAGTCCCTCCCAGCTGATTTGGGGGAACACCCACCTGCCAGACCAGGTGCTCCCTGGCCTCCGGCTTCGCAGACAGGCAGACGCTGAGCACGATGGTGTGTGAAGCGGAGGTGAGGACACTGGCGATGATGGCATCCCGCATGTTGAAGGAAAGCATGGTGTAGACCACGAAGATTATGAAGAGGAAGAAGGACACCTGCCAAGAGGGGAGAAGAACAGGTGTGTCACGCAGGACTCGGATTCCCCAGTGGCCCGCTGGTCTTCCCCAGTGCTGTGCCCACCTAGCAAATGGTATGGTGACCACGTAAGCCACTCCGTTCACAGAGTGAGAGGCAGAGCTCGGCTCCAGACCACCACACTGAAGTCACCATCCCACTAAACTGAGTCACATGTGGCTTTGGTTTCCCAGTGCCTGGGAGAGTTAGAGGGCTGCTGCTGGGGTCGTGTGGGACCAGCGCTGGACTGCGAACCACAAGTTCGGTGGTTCAAACCCACCAGCTGCTCCTCGGGAACCCTATGTAGGGTCACTATGAGTCAGAACTGACCTTGACAACAACAAAAAAGTTAGGTGGCCACTACACTGTACGCTGTTGGAACCCTGGTGGCACAATGGTGAAGCTACCTGAAAGGGCAACAGTTCAAACCCACAGGCTGTTCCTTGGAAGGAAGATGAGGCAGTCTGCTCCCATATAGATGTATAGCTTCAGAAAACACTGGTGCAGATCTACTTGGTCCAATAGGATCACTGAAAGTTGGAACCAACTGATGACAAGGGGTATGCGAAGTGTAGTAAGTGTGCACCATGACAAACTTGGAAATAGTGTGAGAATCAGACACTGAGTGAGCACACACTCTTGGAAAAACACCATCGACAGACTTTCCGGATGTCTGATTGCCACAAACACTCCATTTGTACAAAACGCAATATCCAGAAAGTGCAATGAAAGAAACTGCCATTAAAACTAGGTACGCTTGTTCTGTGGTGCCGAAAGTCATTCTGTTTCAGTCTTGAGACTTCCAGTTTCAGTTTCCCAAACACTGCATGCATTTAGGGTAACTCGAGTCCTTCAGGAGTCTGTGGGAGGTAAAACAGCCAAGCATGTGGCTGAAACGGAAAGAGTGGCTTTTCAACCCACTCAGAAGTGAATTGGAAGGCAGGCCTGGTGGTCTACTTAGGAAAGGACGAAGCAATGAAGACCCCACAGAGCACAGTTCTACTCGGCACACATGAGGTCACTGGGACTAAAACGCAACAACCATGGGCTTACTTTTGAGCATTTCACAGCTGTGGCTGCGTGGCCAGGCACATGACATCAGAATGTGGTTCTGTACCACAGAACACAAACCGTGGGATACTTTAACTTATTTATCAAATTGTATGCTGAGACCCACGCAGGGTTGGCAGGTAGGAGGGTTAGAGAGAATGGATGCTAAGAGCATGACTATAGCATTGTTATTGTTGGTAAGTGTCGTCAAGATGGTGCCCACTCATAGCAACCTTTTGCAAAATAGAACAAAACACTGGCTGGCCCCGCAGCAACCTCACAATTGTGGCTACATTTACTCATTGCATCTGTCACTGTGCCAATCCATCTCACTGGGAGTCTTCCTCTTTTCCGTTAACCCTCCACTTTCATAAGCATGATGTCCTTCTCTAGATAACATGTCCAAAGTATGAGAGATGAAGCCGGGACATCCTGGCTTCGAAGGAGCATTCTGTTTGTTCTTCTGCCAACACAGATTACCTTGACCTTTGGCAGTCATGGCACTTTCAATATTCTCCTCCAACTCCATAGCTCAAATGCATCAATTCTTCAATGGGCTTCCTCATTCCCTGTCTAACTTTCACATGTACATGAGGTTATTGAAAATATCATGGCTTGGGTCAGGCGCACCTTAGTCCTCAAACTGACATCTTTTCTCTAGGTCTTGTGCAGCAGATTTGCCTAATGTAATACATCATTTGATGTCCTGACTGCTGCTTCTATGAGTGTTGATGGTGGATGCAAGCATAATGAAGTCTTTGACAACTTCAATCTTTAAGCCATTTATATGGATGTTGTGTATTGGCCCGGTTGTGAGGATTTCTTATTTCCTTACAATGACGTGCAACGCAATGTGGTCCTTTATCTTCATCAGCAAGTATTTTAAGTGCTCTCTGCTTTCAGCAAGCAAGGTTGTATCATCTGCATAGGACACGTTGTTAATGAGTCTGCCTCAAATCCTGATGCCATATTTTTCTTCATATACCTCAGCATACAGAATGAATAAGTATGGTGAAAGAATACAACCCCGGTGCACACCTTTTCTAATTTTAAACAACTGCGTCTTGATCTTTGTACAGATTTCTTATGAACACACATTGCTGTCCATAGCTTGTTATGACCCACACAATTGAAATAATTTGCATAGTCAATAAAACTCAGGTAAACACTTTTCTGGTATTCTCTGCTTTCAGCCAAGATCCATCGGACATCAGCAATTATATGTCTCGTTCCATGGCCTCTTCTGAATCCAGGCTGAACCTCTGACAGCTCCCTGTCAATGTATGATTGTAGCCACTTTTGAATTAACTTCAGCAAAAATTTACTTGCATATGACACTAATGATATTGTGTGAGGGTTTCCGTATTCTGTTGCGTCACCTCTCTTTGGAATGGGTACAAATAATGGATCTCTTCCAGTCAGTCGGCCAGGTAGCTATCTTCCAAATCTCTTGGAATAGATGATTTCACCCTTTCCTTTATCACTTTGTCTAGTAAAAGTGGGATCAACCAATACATACTTCTCACTCTGACAAAAATGTAGACAAGTTTCAACCATCTGACCACCCAAGTCTTGCTTTTCACTAATACTTGATCTACCGTTGATATTTTCCTATTTCTACTGTCGCCTCATGCCGTGAATTAGCAGTGCCCTCACCAATACTACGAAGTCGTCAACGCCTGTAAGACTGCCGCACCATGACTCCATAATAGGTGTGTGTTTATGTTGTTCTTGTTAAGTGTAGTTGAGTCAGTTCTGACCCATAGCAACCATGTACAGGGTTTCCAAGGCTGTAAATCTTTACAGGAGCAGAATGCCTCATCTTTCTCCCGTGGAGCAGCTGGTAGTTTTGAACTGCTGACTTTGCAGTTAGCAGCCCAATTCGTAACCACTGTGCTACCAGAGCTCCTTGTGTGTGTGTGTGTGTGTGTATACATACATACATATATACATATATAGTAAGAGACGGGAGTTGGAAGAGAAATATCTATCAAGGAAGTCATAGCAAGTCTGCTGCAAAAGACCTTTTTAATGAGCTAAAAACCAAAGCTGTCACCTTGATGAAGAAGGCAGTGCTGCCGCAGTCATGGGCATTTTCAGTCGTCTCATGCGCATAAGGAAGCAACACCAAGGAAAAAGAAGGACGGAAGCATTTCAATTACGGCACAGGTGAACAGGAATACGGAACATACTACGGACTGCCAAGAGGAAGGCTCTGTAGGATATGCACTGGACTGCAAACTACAAGGTCGGCTGTTCAAGGCCGCCGGCTACTCCTTGGAGGTCCTATCCAGATTGCTATGAGTTGGAACTGACTCGACTTCACATAACATCCAGAAAAAGGAACAATCCATCTCGAAGGAAGTACAACCTTCAGAGATGGACTGACGGTGACTGGAAGAACATCTTCAAATATACCATCAGTTGTGTGGATCGTACAGGGCCTGGCCATGTTTCGTTCTGTTGTGCACGGCCTCACCCAAAGTCGGAGCTGATGCAACAGCACCTAACAACCACAAACATTAGCGTTCACTGCGCGTCTCTCCCAGCTCCTCGCTTCATCTTCTCCACGCCACTCCACCCAGGTCACAGAGAAGGCAGCTGTGGTCCAGCGAGGTGGGCGGTGTGACCGGTAACACCCCACTATTGTCAGCGTCAGGGCCCATGATTAAATCCAAGTGTCTCATGCTGTCCCTGTCCTCATGAACACTTTACAGGGCTTTCCATCCCCTGGGAGGCACACCTCACAGTGTAAAGCATTGGAAAATGTTTATAACAAGACATAACAGAAAAGTCACATCCCTTCCCCTGGAGAATGGGAACCATAACATACACTCTGCATGCTGAGCCAGGAACTGAGTGAAGAACCTGGTGCCTAGACCCAGAATCCTCCAGGAAGAAGGGCTCCTGTTTCAGACATAGGCACTTTTCCCTCCATTCAGCTGTATGTACCCTTTTAGCTGATGTTTATAGGATAAAACCAAAAACACCAAACCTGTTATCGTCAAGTTGATTCCAACTCGTAACAACACTAAGTTTGTTGTTGATATTATATGCTGTCAAGTCAGTTCTGATAGTGACCCTGCATGGGCTTTCAGAGGAGTGGCTGGTGAACTTGAACTGCAGACCTTATAGTTCAAACTGACTTTGCAGTCCAGGGCATTAACCCACAGCGCCAAGCCAGGACTCCACAGCGACACTACAGGACAGAGTGAAATAGCCCCACTAGGTCTGCAAGGTTGGCATAGTGGGGACTGTGGTGGCTTGGCAGGATAAGCACTGGACTGCAAAACACGATGCTGGCGGTTCAAACTCACCAGCCACTCTGCAGGAGAAATAGGAGGCTTTCAGTTCCCACTAAGCTTTACAGCTTCGGAAATCCTAACAACAACAGCAACAGTGGTGTAATGGTCAAGCACTCAGCTAGTAACTGGAAAATTGATGGTTCGAATGCACTAGCTGCTCCACAGGAGAAAGATGTGATTTTCTGTTTCTGTAGCTATGACAACTTTGTCAAACCGTCAGAGCTGTTCTCCTCTGACCAATAAGGTCCCTGTAAGTTGGAATCAACTCTATGGCTAGCTTGTTTGTTTTTTAACTTATTTTATTTTGAAAACTTTATGAAAGCAGATTTTCAGTTCTTCCTGTGATGGACCAGCTGGTAGGCTCAATCTGCTGACCTTTTGTTTCGTACTTGACCAGTGCACAACCAGGGTTCCCTGTTTACAAGCTAACCCACGGATATTGAGTGAATCTGAACTCACAGTAACCCCACATAGAACAGAGGAGTCCTGTTCTTAGAGTTTCTGAGACCTTAAATCTATACGGGACCAGACTGCCTCCTCTTTATCCTGAGGAGTGGCTGCTGGATTTGAACTGTCGACCTTTGGGTGAGCAGCTCCAGTCTTAATCCACAGAGTCACCAGGGTTC